CTGAGTAAGCCAGGTCTCTGGTCAGAGCCAGTGGAGTAGGGGGACCCATAGAGACCCCAGGAACTCATGAGAGCCATGCGAAATCACTTGCACACACACTGCTAAGGAGTCGCAGGACATAGAAGTGTAAGTAGGGGTCATTTAATTTTAGGAAGTTTACTTTCTCTCCAGTTCTTTGTTCAATAAATTAAACAATCAGTGTTCAATTATGTTGTTTCAGTGGACACAGGTTTTTGCCAGGAAGCTTAAAGTCAATAGCAATATGGCTGGCTGGACTAAGGAAGACAAGAGGGCTGGTTACCCAGGGAGACGTGGAAGTTTGATTCCAAGTCTGCGGCATGCACTAGGAGCTGCTGACCACTGGCCCTTGATTGAGCCAGGGAGGCTGAGAGGCCAGGAAAGGCCTGCGGCTCAGGCAGCCCCGGCTGGCTGCTTAGTGGTCATTGTTGAGAACTGCAGGCTCCAGGCCTTGTGCCCCTCTGTTGCCAGGCAAATCACTCACATCCTCCTTTTATTTTTCTGCTTGTATCAGTAATATATGCTTAGTATTAAATAATTCAAGAAATATATACAACTACAAGAAAGAATGTCAAAGTCACATGAAGTCCTATCATCCAAAACAAAACAGTGTTCACCGTTTAGAAAATATGTTTTAAGGGCACTGCTTTCCATTAGCAAACACAGTTTTTTAAGTCTGATTTTTTCCCCTTCCACCTCTGTTTTGTATCTCTCCCTCCCTCTAGCAATAACCACAGTAAACCACTTGATGCTCATCCTCCCCAGCCTCTCTCTGTGTAATCTGCAAACATGCACACACCTGAAGACGGGTTTCTTTTCTATTTATTTGGTGTTTGCAAATGTGGGACTCCCTCTGTACCTCTTTGGGTGTTGCTTTTCTCATGTCACAACATGGTATAGAAATTACTCTTGACATCGCTGGTGAAGCTCCAGCACATTTTTTTGGTAGTTGTATGATATTTGAGAGATTTGTAGTGTGTGAATTTATTCAACAGTTCTTTAGTTGCTGAGCAGTTACATCGTCGTTTTTTTATTTGGGGTTTTTGTGGGGGAGGGGATTGTCGCTCCAGCTATTGCTACAACAAACATTTTCGTCCCTCATATATGTCTATATAATGACGTTTTATCAATCTGAGGTAGTCCAGAGTGGGGCTGAAAATCAAAAGCTATGTGTGCCTTTTTATTTTAACAGTATTTAAAAGATTGACTTCTAAAAGAATTTAAAAGACTGCGTCTTCCAATAATACTTCATGTTTTGTCTGATAAACATTTATTAAGCCCACACTCTGTGTCGGACGTGTGTTTAGCAACTTGGATTCGACAATAAGCAAAAGAAAGATTCCAGCCGTCACAGAAGATTAATCCTAGAAATGGAGTGGGAAGGAACAAGTGAAACAATAATTATAATAAACACTTCACTATTTGGACCCGTGTGGCACTAACTTCTTGTTTCTTATCTTCACACATTTTTCTATTGAATGGATTATATGCTACAATATACTTCCTGTCAATATTTTATGAGCTTCGTATTTCTTCTGAATAGACGTTTATCTGATGCTTTGCAATCTCTTACCCAATCTATTGCTTATCTAAAGACTTCATGAGCAGTTTCTTATACCATCTAATACTTTTAATGTTTATGAATTTGTACATTTTTTGTTCTCTCAGCTTCTGGCTGTTCTATCTTTGCTAATAGTTGTCTCCAAACTCTGGGTTATGTACACAGTTTCTTACATTTCTTTTAATTACATTTTTGCTTTTTATTTTTTTTATCAGTACACCTAGAATTTATTTTTAATATGGTGTGAGGTTGGGGATCAATTGTATTTTCCTTAAGGTAAATAGCCATTTTTCCAATACCACTTATTAAAATAAACTATCAATTTTCTACTGAGTTAAAATGTGATCTTTTCCACATATGTGGTTCCTGTATACACCAAAGTCTGTATGTTTTTTATTCTGCTGTGATGATTGTTGTCTACTTTTGTTATTTGAATTTCATGCTGTTTTGATCACAATCTTCTATTTCATAATTATAAAGCTAGGTTAAAACAATTTAGTCACATAGAGCCTCAGATGATTTTACCCAATTATGAATTATAATTTTAATTAAAATAACATCAACCTTATATTAAGAAGAAGAAAAAAATCACAATCAAAAAAGAGAACAAAGTATAATAATTACAGACAATACTACATAAAAGTTTATGGCAACAAATTAGAAAATGTAGAAGAAATTAAAAATGTCCTCTAAATCATATAAATCATCAAAATGGCACAAGGAGGAGAAAAATAAGAATAGATCATTTCTACAGAAGAAATTGGAAATGTCTTTAAAGATTTACTATTTGAAAGGGCCCCAGACACAGGTGGCTTCACAGCTGAGTTCTATTAAGCCTGTAAAGAAGATAACCCCAATGCTATGGAACCACTCAAGACCATAAGACAGCAAAGAGAGAGCTCCTCAATACTCCTTACAAAGCCAGTGCTGCTTAATGATAATGCCGCATAGACAAATCTCCCTGGGGAATACAGATTCTGATTCTAAATAAAATATAAGCAAAGAGGGCCAAGCATGATGGCTCACACCTGTAAGTTCAGCACTTTGGGAGTCTGAGGTGGGCGGGTAGCTTGAGCTCTGGAGTTTGAGACCAGCCTGTGTGACATGGCAAAACCCTGTCTCTACCAAAAAATAATAATAACAACAACAAAATTAGTAGGGCATGGTAGCACATGCCCGTCATCCTGGCTACTTGGGAGGCTGAGGTGGGAGAATCACCTTAGACTGGGAGGCAGAGGTTGCAGTGAGACAGGATTAGGCCATTGCACTCTAGCCCAGTTAACGGAGTGAGACGCTGTCTCAAAACAAATAAAACAAAATAATTAGCTAATAAGAATCCGTCCATGTGCTGAATAGACTAATATGCTGTAATCAAATAGCTTTTATTACAGGAATGCAAGGATGTTTCAATCACAGAAAATTTACCAACATAATTTATTACATTAAAGGTGAAAATGTGTCATATTCATAGATACTAAATGGGCACCTGGTAAAATTCAGTAGCCATTCCCAATACAAACTACAAACCCAGAATCTCTCTCTCTCCCTGTTTTTTTTTGAGATGGGAGTCTCACTCTGTTGCCCAGGCTGGAATGCAACGGCATGATCTCGGCTCACTACAACCTCCACTTCCTGAGTTCAGGTGATTCTCTTGCCTCAGCCTCCCAATGAGCTGGGATTACAAGCCTGTGCCACCAGTTTTGGTATTTTTATTACAGACAGGATTTCACTGTGTTAGCGAGGCTGGTCTCAACTCCTGACCTCAAGTGATCTGTCCATCTCAACTTCGCAAAGTGCTGGAATTACAGGCATGAGTCACTGTGCCCAGCCAAACCCATAATCTCTCATCCCAAGTAGCTGGGATTACAGGCCTACACCATCACTTTTGTATTTTTACTAGAGATAAGGTTTTACCATGTTAGCCAGGCTGGTCTAGAACTCCTGACCTCAAGGATCTGTCCACCTCAGCCTCCCAGAGATCTGGGATTACAGGTCTGAGCCACTGACCCCAGCCATAATCTCTTATTCAAACTTCTGAAGCCCTAAATCTCTGAAAACCGAAGTGATACTCGTAACCCTGGTAGTGTAATTCACTTGGTGATGATCTGAGCTTACATAAAGAAATTCTTGTACGTAAAAAGTGTCATTCCTTCAAACTGCAAAGTATTGTGTGTTCTGTATGCAAGACATACTTTACAAAACACACTTGTGAATTCTTTACTTCTGTGGTTCGCCGTCCTGTATCAAAAATTATTACAGCATTTTCTTTTTCAAAGTGGGTTTGAGGAGAAATGACATGAGGAAGGTGCTTTCAACTCTCCGGGAGAAATACATGACTGTGTTTCATTTAATCTAAGACACCCCCGATAGGAAGGCTGGCATTTAATTTATCATTAAAATAGAAAAAAATATGCTGCTACTAATTATACTGCAAAGCACCCTCCATTGTAAGAGGCCTCCCACTTCAGAGACATTGAAATGTGATAAAGGTTCGTCTTCGAATTGATGAAATAGGGTGCGTACATCCAGAGGAAATCACCACTAACAGCACGGCCTTCCGACAAGTGTGGGGACTTGGGTGCTTCCTCTCTGTGATGTCTGCGTCTCTGGGAAGAGGCTGATGTCAGTGCGGGAGTGCAGGGGTCTCGGGTCAGACTGGACTCCAGCTGGCTCTGCACCAGCCAGTTGTTTGACTCTGAGCAAGCTCCTTAATGTATTAGTAGCACGCCTGGAATGAGGATGGTGACAACATGGTGGTGTTGGTGGCGTCAAAAGGGTCTTTCCTGCATCTGCCATCCTAAGATTCTTTACCGAACGAAAAAAACTGACCACAACTTCCCCCCTTTAAAGAGACCCCCCCGATGTTGCTGTGGAGCGGCAGCTGGGCCCCGACGCCTGTGCTGTCTGTCTTAAATGTATATAGTGTGTCCCCCCAAATCTGAGTGCAAGAGAGCCTTAGTCATGTTCTAACAAAGCCCCTGCTGTTTACCAAAGAGCTAATGGGCCCGGAGAGAAACTGTCACTTTCCCAAGTGACACAGCCCGTGACAGTGTGAAGACTAAACCCAGAGAGCCCAGACATGTCTGTAGGCTCTTTCTAGAACACCAAATGGCCTCCTGCTCAGGCTCCCGTCCCCTGAGGACCGGGATCCACCCCAGTGGTCTCTGGCGGTTATCTCCAGCCAGATGATTTCTGTGTGCTAAATGCTGTGCTTTCTGCTCTATGGACCCCTGAAAAAAGATTGGTGCACACTTACCTCACCCACCCACTTGTACCCGAGTTCTGACTGTGAGATCTTTGCTTTCCCACTTCCACCCCACCTTTCTAACCAGCCTCCCGGAAGGGGCTGGGGAGCCCCTCTGTGCAGAGGATCTGAGGCCCTGCCCTCTCATATCCTCTGTCTGCTGTGTGCCTCAAACAGGATGGGGATGGTGAGCAGCAAAAGGCAGGTCAATGAGAAGGACAAGGGCCAATGGAGCCCCCTGAAGGCCAGCACCCAGGACAAGGCCCCCCCACCACTGCCACCCCTGGTGAGTGATCCCCCACCCCCGGCCAAGAGCAGGTTACTTACTTCTTCTATGCCTTAATGTCCACATCTGTAAAATGGGTATAGCAAAAGTGCCTTCCTGATAGGGATGTAACGATCTGCGCGGTGTAAGCAGGTGTGCCATGCAATACAACACACACAGGACCCGGCCTGGATAGCACCCAGTAATTCTTAGCCAGAGCTCATTTCTCAAGGGCAGCAGGGAAGAGAATAAGAAGTTAAAAAGGTCAGCTTGGGGAGAGGGTGTCGTAAGGGAGGATTCGGGCATCTAGCTGCAGCCACTCCTTCTTCTCCCCAGCAGCTCCTGGAGACCCTTGGCTCCTATGTGGCATTGCTGTTGGCATTGCAAAGTGCCCGCTCTCCTGAGATAAGCATCATGAAACAGGAGGGTTCCTGTCCTCACCTCCCGAGCAGGCTCTCAGGTTTAACTGGAATGCCATGGGCATTTTAAATGAGGAAAACTTTCCAAAGGAAAAAAAAGTGAAATTTCAAGTGAAAAGTCTCATTGCTCGGAAATGCATCTTCCTAGTCGTGCAGTCTGATGTCCTTATAAAGCAGTTAGTGCCCTTTGATGGCTACTGCATGTCTGAAGATGCATTTTTTTTTAAACAGTCTTGCTCTGTTGCCCAGGCTGGAGTGCAGCGGTGCAACCGTGGCTCACTGCAACCTCCGCCTCCTAGGTTCAATCGATTCTCTCTCATGGCTCAGCCTCCTGAGTAGCTAGAATTACAGGCACATGCCACCATGCCCAGCTAATTTTTGTATTTTTAGTAGAAATGGACTTTCACCATGTTGGCCAGGCTGGTCTTGAACTCCTGACCTCAGGTGGTCCGCACTCCTCGGTCTCCCAAAGTGCTGGGATTACAGGCATGAGCAACTGCGCCTGACCTGAAGGTGCATTTTAGATGACTCTGCGTGCCTCCCACTTCCTGACCAGTGACCTCCTTTTGGCTTGGGGCACTTGGGAGCCACGCTTGGACCCTCTCCCCCTGCGCTGTCCTCATGCCCACATGGTCATCTCTTTATCCTAGCAGGGGCCTGATGGGGAGACAGGGATTACTAATTCCACTTCCTAGATGAACCCGGGTCTCTTATTTGTCTGTGTCCCAGTTTCATGCCAGGCTCAGCACACAACCAGTAAGATGTTTGTGGAATAAATAATTGATCAAATGGGGAAACTTGAACTTAGACTGACTGAGTAATTCCCCAAAGTTTTATGATAATAAGTAATAGCACCTGGAGTTTTTTTAACTTAAAAAAGTCACATGATACATATTAATTACGGAAGAAACTATAATTACTCTTTATTCCACTCTGTAGAGTCACCAGGGTTAGCTCTTCAGAACTCCTGCTTCAAGACCCTTTCTGTGTGTTCTTTAATTCATGGGTTCTTATTTTTAATGGAAACATACATACATAGCATTTTGCAAAATGCTACTTCAGTGTTCAATAAACATGGAATGAGAAAGAGAATATTGGGCTGGGCACGGTAGCTCACATCTGTAATCCCAGCACTTTGGGAGGTCGAGGTTGGTGGATCACCTGAGGTCAGGAGTTCAAGACCAGCCTGGCCCACAGGGTGAAACCCCCATCTCTACTAAAAAATACAGAAATTAGCCAGGCTTTGCTTTTTAATATTATCACATATGTATATACCCCTAAACAATAATTAGTTTCATTTTTCCTGTTGTAAGCTTTAAACCAGCTACATCCAACATCACATATGCTTCTGAGACTGGGTTTTCGGCTCCGTGTTATGCATGTGATATACCGACACTGATGCACGTGGCTGCAGCTCATTAATTTTACTGAATGAGTACACTGTAATTTGTTTATTCTTTGTCATGAGGGTTAGTTCCACGTTTTAAAATTGTTTATCTATTGGCCAGGCATGATGGCTAACGCCTGTAATCCTAGTACTTTGGGAGGCCAAAGAGGGCAGATCAGCCTGGCCAACATGGTGAAACCCCATCTCTACTGAAAATACAAAAATTAGCTGGGCATGGTGGCGGGCACCTGTAATCCCAGCTACTCGGGAAGCTGAGGCATGAGCATTGCTTGAATTTTTTTTTTTTGACCTCCTGCAGCCTCCTCATCCTCCATGCCCACACAGCATGGGGAAAGGCTGGCTCAGCCAGCCTGGGTCGCACCCATTAACCTGCTCATGCCACGTGCACCAGGAGGCAGAGATTGCAGTGAGCCAACATTGCGCCACTGTACTCCAGCCTGGGCAACAGAGCGAGACTCCATCTCAAACAAAAAACAAAACAGAAAGAAAATTGTTTCTGTATTATTATTTTTGCTAGGAGCACTCTTGTACATGATTCCTGGTTCACACACGCAAACGTTTCTTTCCATTATATGTATCTACAAATACGTTTGCTGAGTTTTGGGGAAATATGCTTCTTAAGTATTTTTTCTTGTCCACAAATACCCATTTTCAGCTTGCTCTTTTAGAGGCAGAGCCAGAATGTTAAGCCCAAGTGATTGGGCTTCCCCTCATTCTCCACAGCTACCTCTTATCTACCCTGGGGGGTCCCCCATGCAGTCAGGGCGAAGGCAGCAGAGGGCGGGGGTCTATCTGAGGGTGGTGCAGGTCCCTGGGTTCAGAATTTCCCTGTGCAGCCCCCACCGGCGGCTGCCTCTCCTCCCACAATGGGTCCCCGGAGATCACCTGGCTGCCTGCTCAGGCCCTGCGCCTGCAGCAGGGACGGGAATAACTCATGCATGGTTTCTACCCAAGGTTGTCTTTAACCACCTTACTCCTCCACCGCCCGAGGAACACCTGGACGAAGGTAAGAAGGGTGGTGCGGGAAGCTGAGTCTCCACGGCCCCCTCCCCTTGTGGAGTTGAACAGAAAACAGTCGGGAGCAGCTTGAGGGCTGGAGAAGAGAAAAAGGGGAAGCTGAGCGGGGCCCAGGCACCGTGCCTCTTGGGGGTGTCTTCAGGAACCAAGCATGAATTTCCTTAGTTTGCCTGAGCCTGGTGGGACTTTTTAAAAATGAAAGACTTTACAAACTGTAAACAAGAATAAAAATAAGGGTCCTAGAGAAGACACACACCATCATCAAACCCAAGCTTGCAAAGAGTCTAACTCCCAAACTCAGAGGCTGGGCAGTGGCTCCAGGCCCTTGCCTCCAGCCCTGGGCTGCGCCCCGTGGAGGACACCTTCTTGTTTCCCCTTCCCAGCCACTTTGAAAGTCGCCTGCTGATCACCTAACCACCCATGCCCCCTCCCTGGTCCCCAGATGTCACCTTTTTTTTTTTTTCTTTTTTGAGACAGAGTCTTGCTCTTGTCACCCAGGCTGGAGTGCAGTGATGTGATCTCAGCTCACTGCAGCCTCCACCTCCTGGGATCAAGTGATTCTCCTGCCTCAGCCTTCCGAGTAGCTGGGATTACAGGTTCACACAACCACACCTGGCTAATTGTTATGTTTTTAGTAGAGACAAGGTTTCACCATGTCAGTCAGACTGGTCTCGAACTCCTGATCTCAGGTGATCTGCCCATCTCAGCCTCCCAAAGTGCTGGGATTACAGGCATGAGCCACTGCATCTGGTCCCCAGACTCCACTTCTGCTCTGGTGGGCTGGCCTGCTGGATGCCGTAGGGAATGAGCTTGGCCTTCCTGGGCCAGAGGCTCCACCCTCAGGGGCTCCCAGGAGGTTGCCTTTTTCACAGTGACCTCCCGCAGCCTCCTCATCATCCACGTCCACACAGCATGGGGAAAGGCTGCCTCAGCCAGCCTGGGTCACACCCATTAACCTGCTCACGCCACATACAACCGGCATTCAGCACATGGGGTGCGACTCTGTCCCAGGAATGGTGAAGGGGTGACAATAGGTAGACGTGACTCCTTCCCTGGGAAAGTTCAGTATCTGTCACACTCGTGAGCAGAACTTGGATCTTAAAACTGCAGGGAACCGCTGTTGCCTATTCCAACCCCCTCTTTCCTGCTGAGAAGTGACCAGCCCAAGGTTACACCCTCAGCTCAGTGACAGAGCTGAGCCACCTCACCTGGAGAAGCTAAGCGCTCTCCAGGTTACCTTCACCAGGTGGGTCCTGTGGCTCCCAGGGCTGTGCAGAGAGCCCTCGTCACAGAAGTACTCATTTGAAGATGGTGCTCCAAGCTCCCGAGCCCTCTTGCCCCTTCCATCCAGGGCCTTCCAGCAAGTCAGGGGGTCCATGGGACACTGGAAGCCACAGGCAGTGTGGCAGAGCTCGGGCACAGACAGTGGGGAGGCCAGGGCTCCAGCTGCCACCTGGCAAGACCACCCCTCTTGGGCACAGAGGTGGGAGGAGGTAGAGGAGGAAAAGGACAAGAGGAACTCACAGGCCTCTGAGACCAGGTGTGGGATAAGATGAGGGACTGCCAGCACTGGCTCCCAGTGTGGGCCTGAGGCCACCAGCCCAGTAGTGGCTGCCTTCCTGTGCTGACCTCTGGCCACCAGCAAACTCACACATGGCCTGCCCAGGCCATAGGGCTTCTTAATGGGTCCAGAAAGGAGGACAGGATGGGCTCTTGGGGCAGCCCGTCCTGGTGAGGTCACAGGCAGGGTCACAGGTTGGGGTGGGGGCCTGTTCTGGATGAGAGTGTCATCTCCAGCATGGGCAAGCAGAAGCCCACCCCTCCTGGTAGCCAGAGGTGGCTCCCATCACAGGCTCGCCCCAGCCCTGCCCTCCCTCTCGGGGGCCTGGTCATCTCTCCCTGGTTCCTTTCAGATGAGCATTTCGCGGTAGCCCTCTATGACTACGCCGCCGTGAATGACCGGGACCTGCAGATGCTGAAGGGGGAGAAGCTACAGGTCCTGAAGGGGTGAGGCTCCAGGACGCCGTCCCCTGTCCCTGCAGGAGTCCCACCACATCCCTCCCTCCTCTGCCCACCACATCCTCCGTGGCTGACCCCAGAAACCTTCCCCACTGCCCTGCCTCCATCCCTAGCCCCAGCATTTTCTTGAACTTGGCTCTTTTGTCCCCCTCTCCAGACTCTTTCTGGTGAAGTGATTTCCATTCACAACTTCCTGCTCATCCTTTAAAGTTCATGTTCCATGCCACCACCTCCATGCAGCCCTCCTGACTCCTTTGGGCATGTGGACCTTGTCCTTTATGCAGGCCGGTCTGGCTGTTCCTTGAGAGCCTTGCATTTAAGTCAGTCATGTCCATATTTGTCTCCTTCTTAAGACAGACACCCACATGGATTACACACGCCCATCCTGCTTTAGCTCATTTTGTGTCCTTCTCAGAAACTCCATCTAGGCCCGCTCTCTGGGTGACCAGTCTTGCCCCCTGGAGTTCTGAGGGTCTGATTTTGTTCTTGAAGTTCTGCAGTGACCTTGAGCCAAGCTCATGAAAGTCCTGACTATTGATCCTATACAGGCCACCCGACTGTGTCTTCCTCAAGCCTGTCCCAAGTCCCTCACCAAGCTCCGAACACATCCCACTCATCAAGAGGAAGGCTGCTGGCCAGAGCCCTGGGTCCTCTTGGGCTGGTCAGGCTGTACAGATAAGCTCTTCCCCCTAGAGCTTACCCAGATACCCACCATACCACGGAGCAGCAGGCACAGCCCCTTCCTGCCTGCCATACTGTCTACCTCTGCGGATTCTGTGCCTTCCAGGGAGAGGTGGCATTGAGGAGGCCTGGGAGCTGCCCAGAGATGGGCCCACAGAGGCCATGATCACAGCTCTGTTTCTCCTGCTCCCGCTAGAACTGGAGCCTGGTGGCTGGCCAAGTCACTCGTCACAGGAAGAGAAGGCTATGTGCCCAGCAACTTTGTGGCCCGAGTGGAGAGCCTGGAAGTGGAGAGGTAGGTGGCACGGGAAGTCCCCTGGAGCCAAGGTCCAGTCATTGTCTCTGCTCCCTGGGCTGCTAGGCAGGGCAGGACCAGAATGGGACTGACCTGGGAACCCGCAAGCACCAGCAAAAAGGGGACAGGAAATTAGCTCTGCTGGAAAGGCCCCTCTGCTGGTTCCAGATGACAAGTTCAGACCACTGTGTGACACTGAGCAGACTGCTGTGTGACACTGAGCAACCCGCTGTGTGACACTGAGCAGACTGCTGTGTGACACTGAGCAGACCACTGTGTGACACTGAGACACCGAGTAGGCTGCTGTGTGACACTGAGCAGACCACTGTGTGACACTGAGCAAGCCACTGTGTGACACTGAGCAGGCTGCTGCGTGACACTGAGACAGCAGGATGCTGTGTGACATTGAGCAGACCACTGTGTGACACTGAGACACTGAGTAGGCCACTGTGTGACACTGAATAGGCCACTGTGTGACACTGAGCAAACCTCTGTGTGACACTGAGACACTGAGTAGGCCACTGTGTGACACTGAGCAAACCACTGTGTGACACTGAGGAGACTGCTATGTGACACTGAGACACTGAGCAGGCCACTGTGTGACACTGACTGAGCAGACTGCTGTGTGACACTGAGCAGGCCACTGTGTGACACTGACTGAGCAGACTGCTGTGTGACACTGAGAAACTGAGCAGGCTGCTGTGTGACACTGAGCAGGCCACTGTGTGACACTGACTGAGCAGACTGCTGTGTGACACTGAGACACTGAGCAGGCTGCTGTGTGACACTGACTGAGCAGACTGCTGTGTGACACTGAGACACTGAGCAGGCCACTGTGTGACACTGACTGAGCAGACTGCTGTGTGACACTGAGAAACTGAGCAGGCTGCTGTGTGACACTGAGCAGGCCACTGTGTGACACTGACTGAGCAGACTGCTGTGTGACACTGAGAAACTGAGCAGGCTGCTGTGTGACACTGAGCAGGCCACTGTGTGACACTGACTGAGCAGACTGCTGTGTGACACTGAGACACTGAGCAGGCCACTGTGTGACACTGACTGAGCAGACTGCTGTGTGACACTGAGAAACTGAGCAGGCTGCTGTGTGACACTGAGCAGGCCACTGTGTGACACTGACTGAGCAGACTGCTGTGTGACACTGAGAAACTGAGCAGGCTGCTGTGTGACACTGAGCAGGCCACTGTGTGACACTGACTGAGCAGACTGCTGTGTGACACTGAGACACTGAGCAGGCCACTGTGTGACACTGACTGAGCAGACTGCTGTGTGACACTGAGAAACTGAGCAGGCTGCTGTGTGACACTGAGCAGGCCACTGTGTGACACTGACTGAGCAGACTGCTGTGTGACACTGAGAAACTGAGCAGGCTGCTGTGTGACACTGAGCAGGCCACTGTGTGACACTGACTGAGCAGACTGCTGTGTGACACTGAGAAACTGAGCAGGCCACTGTGTGACACTGACTGAGCAGACTGCTGTGTGACACTGAGAAACTGAGCAGGCTGCTGTGTGACACTGAGCAGGCCACTGTGTGACACTGACTGAGCAGACTGCTGTGTGACACTGAGACACTGAGCAGGCCACTGTGTGACACTGACTGAGCAGACTGCTGTGTGACACTGAGACACTGAGCAGGCCACTGTGTGACACTGACTGAGCAGACTGCTGTGTGACACTGAGACACTGAGCAGGCCACTGTGTGACACTGACTGAGCAGACTGCTGTGTGACACTGAGAAACTGAGCAGGCCACTGTGTGACACTGACTGAGCAGACTGCTGTGTGACACTGAGAAACTGAGCAGGCTGCTGTGTGACACTGAGCAGGCCACTGTGTGACACTGACTGAGCAGACTGCTGTGTGACACTGAGACACTGAGCAGGCCACTGTGTGACACTGACTGAGCAGACTGCTGTGTGACACTGAGACACTGAGCAGGCCACTGTGTGACACTGACTGAGCAGACTGCTGTGTGACACTGAGCAGGCCACTGTATGACACTGAGCAGACCGCTGTGTGACACTGAGCAAGCCGCTGTGTGACACTGACTGAGCAGACCGCTGTGTGACACTGAGCAGGCCACTGTGTGACACTGACTGAGCAGACTGCTGTGTGACACTGAGAAACTGAGCAGACTGCTGTGTGACACTGAGCAAGCCGCTGTGTGACAGAGGAGACCGCTGTGTGACAATGAGACACTGAGTAGGCCACTGTGTGACACTGAGCAGACCGCTGTGTGACACTGAGCAGGCCACTGTGTGACAGAGGAGACCGCTGTGTGGCAATGAGACACTGAGCAGGCCACTGTATGACACTGAGCAGGCCGCTGTGTGACAGTGAACAGGCTGCTGTGTGACACTGAGCAAGCTGCTCTTCCAAGCTAAACAAGAGCGGTCCTTCTCCTGGCTTCCCTGGATGGAACCGTCCCCCATGTCTGATGGCCTTGCAGGCTAACAGGGAGGGACTGTGACCACAAACCCTCCCCTGTATTCCTCCACGGACAGGACTCAGGGCTCAGCCTCGGAGTCTCCTAGGAGGGTGGCTTGTTCAGAACCAACTAACAGGAGAGCAGGATCCCAACCTTCTAATCCTGTAGCCCCTCCTCCCCCATGTCCCTATGGCACTGGGAATGTTGGACTCGGCCAGCCAGGGCCCCCACAAATCCGTTCACAGGGCCCAGCTCTGCCTGAGTACTGGGGCCCAGCAACAATGAATCTTCTTGGGCACTGTGGGCCCTGCATCTTTCCCCAGAATGGTGTGGGGAACCGTGGGGCTCTCCCACACAGAACAACCCCATACTGAAGGGGACATGCTGGGGTCCCTGCTCAGAGAGTCTCGGCAGTTTGCCTCTTCCAGACCTCTGACAGCAAGGAGGCAGGCATGTGCCTGTGATACGCAGCTGTGCTTTGGAGAGAGTGAGCAGGTGCATTTTTCCAAAGCAAAATTAACAAAAGTCACCCAAATAATGTCTTTGTTTCATTGCAGGAAACAGTGAGTCCAGGGCTGACGGGAAGGACGGAAAGGGCAGGGGGACAGAGGGCGCTGACTCCATCCCAGTGTGGGGAGCAGCATCTCAGGGACGACTTGGGAGCAGAAATGCTAGACTTTATTTCTTGGGGGTGGGCAGCTCAGGAGGGAGGCTCAGTGGGAATACTCCGAGGAGCAGGTCTGCTCTGAGGTTCACCAGTTCCTGCTGTTTTCCAGGTGGTTCTTTAGATCGCTGAGCCGGAAGGAGGCTGAGAGGCAGCTTCTGGCTCCAGTCAACAAGGCCGGCTCCTTTCTCATCAGAGAGAGTGAAACCAACAAAGGTAGGCGTGGTGGCCTTGCCCGCCCTCCCTGCCCTGCGCATCCCGAGAGGCCCTCTCCAGAGGCCTGGCCCTGGAGTGAGAGGGGAAGGGGTGACTGCCAGGAGAACCAGCAGCTTCTGGGCCTGTGTTCCTTCCAATTCAGGCCCTGCCCAGGAGTTGAGGTGGGGGCTGTCCACAAAAGCAGTCCTCCCTGTCCAGGGTGGAAACCACCCGGGCATGGGAAGCCGGGTGGACGGGGATGGCCCCATGCCAGACTGGCCATGCTGCCTGGTCAGCAGGAACAGCAAGGCCAGTGGGGCCTGGACAGGGGGAACCCTGAGCCCTCAACCATCAGCTTCTTTGGAATCAAGGATTGGGGGAGCTCAAAAGAATCCTGGGAGATTATCTCAGCTAGAGGCTGCAGGTAGCATAGGTTAGGAAGTGGTCTGTGCCTGACGTAAGGGTAGTGATTGTGGGGAGCCCATGCCAGTCTAGACACGAGTTTAAATCGACTGATAACTGAGCAAAACTTTGCTGCCACTACCCTCAGGATTTTCTCACTTTCTCTGTCATTTGCTTTCTTTCCTTCCTAATGTTTTTTGGCATAAAACCAAAAACACATATAAAGCTTGCGTAAGTATGAGTGCGTAATTCTAAGTTGTATAGGGTAATAATACACAAATCCCTGTGTAACCACGGCCAAGAGATAGAGCATCTCAGACCACCAGGAGCCCCCCTCACTTCCCCACTCGGGCTCCTCCTGATTCAGCCCCCACCCCCAGGAGCTGCCCGCTGTTCTGACTCGGGTGGAAACCCTTCCTCACTTTTCTGTAGTTTTGCAACCAGGTCTTGTCTGTTTCTTAGCTTTATGCAGATAGAATGACTGCGTTTGTTTCTGTGTGACTTTCTCCTGCCCCTCAGCAGTGTTTGTGAGATTCTGGGTTAGTTTTCTGGGCTGCCGTAACAAAGTAGCACAGACTGGGTGGCTCCATGACAGAAGTTTGTTATGTCACAGCTCTGGAGGCTTGGAGCCCAAGACCGAGGTGTCGGCAGCATTGGCTGCTCCCAAGGCCTCTCTCCTCGGCTTGCAGACAGCCGACTTCTCCATGTCCGTCCTCATGTGGCCGTCCCTCCGTGCGTGTCTGTGTCCTAATCTCTTCTTATGAGGACACCTGTCGCATTGGATTAGGGCCCACCCATACCAACCCATTTTACCTTAATCACCCCTTTAAAGCCCTGTCTCCACATATGGCCACATTCTCAGGACTGAGGGTTAGGACTTCCACATAGGAATTGGGAGCACACATGATTCAGCCTGTAACAGATTCATGCACGTGGCTGGGATGGTAAGCCTGTTCATGTTCATTGCTGCAGAATCTCAGGTGTGACCGTTCCAGAGCCAAGTTAGCCATTCTCATGCTGTGGGCATCGGGTTGTTTCCAGTCTGGGGCCGTTGATGCATGTGTTGCACTGAACCCTATTACGGTGCCTGGTCCTCACTGGCCGCTAGCTTTTCATCTGTAAGATACGAATCCATTTGACAGATGGTCAAAGTGAGCCCCTGAAACAGGAAATGACTTGCCGGAGGCCAGCAGTAAGCATCAGAGCCCGAAGCACCAGTGGCCACATCATCTAAGAGGCTGAGAGGCTTCCCAGGCTCTACAGTGTGGCAAGCTAGGGTGATCCAGGGAGTTCCCACACAACGTGAAGAATGCGTTGCTCATCAGGAAGCTGTCCACAGGGACCGGCTATAGCCTCGTGGCCAATTTAACAGGAGAGGAGCTGGTGACAGTGACATCAGAGGAGGGAAGGAAGAGAGAGTGACTGGAATATGAGTTTGGTTCCCTGTGGTTGGGGTGATGAGAATGGATGGGGTGTTGCCTGGTGGGAGCACCCTTGGGCTGTCCCTTCATTTCATCTGTGACTCAAGGACGGCAGCCGGAGAGTAGAAAGCCAGAGCATGGAAAGCTGTCACAGCGCCCTGTGACTCTCCGGGGAGACCATGAGGCCCCGCTGCCCCTCAGGGCAATGGCTAGGACCAGGTTGGGGAGCAGGAGGAGTACACTGGAAAACTGGGGTGCTCTGTGCAGGATTTCTTGGAATGCACCAATGCCTGATAACATTTTATATATACATGTACATACCTATACATACACATAGATATATACATTTTGTATATACATATACATACCTATACGTACACATAGATATATACATTTTATATATACATATACCTACCTATACATACACGTAGATATATACATTTTATATATACATATACATACCTATACGTACACGTAGATATATACATTTTATATATACATATACCTACCTATACGTACACGTAGATATATACATTTTATATATACATATACCTACCTATACGTACACATAGATATATACATTTTGTATATACATATAAATACCTATACGTACACATAGATATATACATTTTGTATATACATGTACACACCTATACGTACACATAGATATATACATTTTGTATATACATGTACACACCTATACGTACACATAGATATATACATTTTGTATATACATGTACACACCTATACGTACACATAGATATATACATTTTGTATATACATGTACACACCTATACGTACACATAGATATATACATTTTGTATATACATGTACACACCTATACGTACACATAGATATATACATTTTGTATATACATGTACACACCTATACGTACACATAGATATATACATTTTGTATATACATGTACACACCTATACGTACACATAGATATATACATTTTGTATATACATGTACACACCTATACGTACACATAGATATATACATTTTGTATATACACGTACACACCTATACGTACACATAGATATATACATTTTGTATATACACGTACACACCTATACGTACACATAGATACATACATTTTGTATATACACGTACACACCTATACGTACACATAGATACATACATTTTGTATATACACGTACACACCTATACGTACACATAGATACATACATTTTGTATATACACGTACACACCTATACGTACACATAGATACATACATTTTGTATATACACGTACACACCTATACGTACACATAGATACATACATTTTGTATATACACGTACACACCTATACGTACACATAGATACATACATTTTGTATATACACGTACACACCTATACGTACACATAGATACATACATTTTGTATATACACGTACACACCTATACGTACACATAGATACATACATTTTGTATATACACGTACACACCTATACGTACACATAGATACATACATTTTGTATATACACGTACACACCTATACGTACACATAGATACATACATTTTGTATATACACGTACACACCTATACGTACACATAGATACATACATTTTGTATATACACGTACACACCTATACGTACACATAGATACATACATTTGTATATACACGTACACACCTATACGTACACATAGATACATACATTTTGTATATACACGTACACACCTATACGTACACATAGATACATACATTTTGTATATACACGTACACACCTATACGTACACATAGATACATACATTTTGTATATACACATACACACCTATACATACACATATACATTTTATATATACATATACATACCTATACGTACACATAGATATATACATTTTGTATATACATATACACACCTATACATACACATATACATTTTATATATACATATACATACCTATACATACACATAGATATATACATTTTGTATATACATATACATACCTATACATACACATAGATATATACATTTTGTATATACATATACATACCTATACGTACACATAGATATATACATTTTGTATATACATATACACACCTATACATACACATATACATTTTATATATACATATACATACCTATACGTACACATAGATATATACATTTTGTATATACATATACACACCTATACATACACATATACATTTTATATATACATATACATACCTATACATACACATAGATATATACATTTTGTATATACATATACATACCTATACATACACATAGATATATACATTTTGTATATACATATACATACCTATACGTACACATAGATATATACATTTGTATATACATATACACACCTATACATACACATATACATTTTATATATACATATACATACCTATACGTACACATAGATATATACATTTTGTATATACATATACACACCTATACATACACATATACATTTTATATATACATATACATACCTATACGTACACATAGATACATACATTTTGTATATACACATACACACCTATACATACACATATACATTTTATATATACATATACATACCTATACGTACACATAGATATATACATTTTGTATATACATATACACACCTATACATACACATATACATTTTATATATACATATACATACCTATACATACACATAGATATATACATTTTGTATATACATATACATACCTATACATACACATAGATATATACATTTTGTATATACATATACACACCTATACATACACATAGATATATACATTTTGTATATACATATACATACCTATACATACACATAGATATATACATTTTGTATATACATATACACACCTATACATACACATATACATTTTGTATATACATATACATACCTATACGTACACATAGATACATACATTTTGTATATACATATACACACCTATACGTACACATATACATTTTGTATATACATATACATACCTATACGTACACATAGATATATACATTTTGTATATACATGTACATACCTATACATACACATAGATATATACATTTTGTATATACATATACATACCTATACGTACACATAGATATATACATTTTATATATACATATACACACCTATACGTACACATAGATATATACATTTTGTATATACATATACATACCTATACGTACACATAGATATATACATTTTGTATATACATATACATACCTATACATACACATAGATATATACATTTTGTATATACATGTACATACCTATACATACACATAGATATATACATTTTGTATATACATATACATACCTATACGTACACATAGATATATACATTTTATATATACATATACACACCTATACGTACACATAGATATATACATTTTGTATATACATATACATACCTATACGTACACATAGATATATACATTTTGTATATACATATACATACCTATACATACACATATACATTTTATATATACATATACATACCTATACGTACACATAGATATATACATTTTGTATATACATATACATACCTATACGTACACATAGATATATACATTTTATATTTAGATGCATATTGGATATTGTCACTATTCCATTTTTGTGGCAGAGCACCTCTGTCCAAGAAACAATTTGGGAGTCACTGGAGATGACATAAACGTTTGGTTGTGGTCGCAGAGCCTGTCAGACATACACAGAAGTAGAGGAAATAGTTCAGCGGAACCCCTGGTACCTACCACCGAGCTCCAACAGTTATCACTGGAGCCAGTCGTGTTTCATCTGTATCCCCCACTCCACCCCTGTTCTTTCAAAGCAAATCCTAAACATCATGTCATGTCACCCTAGAAATGATATTTCAACCACTGCCTATTGCTAAGGTGCCCTCTGATGTGAAAGCCCCGCCCCCCACCCAATCTGGTGTGGAGGAAGAAGGGGTTCTCTATGAGTCTCACATCTCTTCCTGTCCATGTCCACCCCAGGAAGACAGTCCAAGCTGGGAATTGGCCAGATGGGACCAGGGCTGCAGGATTGTTCAACCATCATCACCTCACCACATACACACACACACACACACACACACAGGCATACACTCATATATATACACATGTGCATACACAGGTGTGTGTGCACACCATGCATACATATACACATGCACATGCATGCACACATGCACATACAAATGCATGCACACACATACACATGTGCATATACAGGCATGTGTGCACACCATGCATACACATACACATGCACACACATGCATGCACGCACATGTATGCACACGTGTGCCCACACACGTGCCCACACACAGGCATATGTGCACACGATGCATACGCATGCACAGATGCATACATGCACACACATACACACATGTGAAGACACATGCATACATGCACACAATCATACACAGGCATGCGTGCACCATACATGCACATGCACACATGTACGTATGCACATATGCATACATGCACACTCATACGTGCATACACAGGCACCTGTGCACACGCACACATGCACATGTACACACACATGAACACATGCACTTGCACACATACACATGCATACACGCACACATGCACACATTGCACATATGCACCCACGCCCCTTCCTCCTACCCAGGTTACCCCCAGCTGTGTGCTTATTTTCTATTGTATGATAGAAGAGACTCATTACATAGGGGAGGGGTGGGAAAGGAGCAGGATATGTACACACTTCACACACACATATGCACACATACACGACTCCAAAGCAAGCCCCGTCTGTTTCTGGGAGCAACAGTAGTGATTCAAGACAGGGATGGAAGCAGGGGAGTGAGTCCTACCCCTTGTGGCCTCCACAGTGTCCCTGAGCCTGTCAAGCCTCAGTTTATTGGTGTCTATGTGAGGACGGACTCGCTTCCCAGCTCAGCGTCAGGCAGTCCCTCCGTGCTGAGAAATCGTCATCTCAGAGCCAGCCCCTGCTTGCCCAGAGCAGTCCAACCATACTACAGGGAGAGGGGGTCCAGGTTTTGTGAACCTGAAGCTGATAGGATCTGAGGTCCTCTTTAAGAAGGATACAAAATTGTCAGAAGCCATCAGGGATGGGGCTTCAGTGCAGCCCAGGTTCGTGAGAGTGGCCTTTAGGTCAGTGAGCTTGGCTGACATCACCACGTGGAGAGCAGGCTCCTGGGCTCATCACCAGAGGCATCCGACACAGGTGCAGCCCACAAAATGGGGAGAAAGCCCTTGGTTAATAAACTCCCTAAGGCCAGGCTCGGGTTCCTTAGAGACTGGGGGCACAGCTGCATCCGGGCAGGGTCGGGAAGAGAGTCTGCAGCATCCTGGCAGAGGCTGGGGTTGGGGGCATGGGCTGGGCTGGAACACGCCTCTGGGCGTCCTTTTGCAAGGAGGTGATGAGAGAGAGGCACTCTGGCTGAGGGAAACTGGAGAGGGGTAGAGGGTTGAGGTGGAGGAATGGACAGGAAAGAAAGAGCCTCAAGTCAAACGGGACTGCGGAAAACCAACGTCCACACCAAGAACGAGGCTCCGCGCCTGACCCCTGGCGGAGAGGCCTGGTACTGCTCCTGGTGGGCGCGGACTTGGGGAACTGAGAGCCCCCATGGCCTGCTGAGAACTCTGCCGGGCCCCAGCGACCCCATTTCCCAAATAATGGGTGGAGGGAGGGTGGGGTCCTGGTACCCAGGTAGCTGAACAGACGCATTTTATAAAAACATCAAGCTCATGGAAAAACGGTTCTCATCGGGAAACTCTTGCCTCTTAAATTGCCCTTAACCCTTGACATCTGCTGCCACTTGCCTGCAGGAAAACATAAAGCCAGAAGACAAAAATGATAGGTTCGTGTAACAGGCAGCAAATGAATTTGAACAGAGCCCCTGGGAATAGCTCATTACGCTCTCCACCATGGACATGGGCACTTGCAGCTGTGATTGGCTGCCTGTAGGAGTAGGAGACATCCTCCTTCGCCAGAAAATAAAGCTCCTAGTCCCTCCATCGAGACGAGATTTCACAATAGTCCCTGGCAAAGGGTCCCCCGAGTGACCAGGTGCCCAAGGGGGACCCACATGATTACTGAGAAAATGTCCTGCCTGCCACAGAACTCTGTGAGCCCCTGGCTGATTCCCTGGGGGACACTGGGGGGATGTCAAGGTCACAGTCAGGCTTAGCTTACGGGGAAGGCTTCAGAAAGCACGGAGGTTGAGATGCAGGGTGAGGGAACTTGTGGTGGGAGTGGTGACGGTGGAAGACGGCACTGGGGAACTTTTTTCAAGCTTTAAGATGAGGCCTAAATCCCAGTCCTGTGTTCCATGCCTTCTCCTTGTCTCCATGAACCCTCCAGGTGCCTTCTCCCTGTCTGTGAAGGACGTCACTGCCCAGGGGGAGCTGATCAAGCACTATAAGATCCGCTCCCTGGATGAGGGGGGGCTACTACATCTCCCCCCGGATCACCTTCCCCTCACTGCAGGCCCTGGTGCAGCACTATTCTAGTAAGACGGGTGTGCAGTGCGGGTGGGGAATTGTGCCAAGAGCCCCTGTGTCTCTCGCTAAGATCCCCAGTTGTGTGGGTCATTGGTGCCACCTTGGGGGAAGGGAAGATCATCCCCAAGCTAGACCTAAGAAGGTAGCAGGTCTCAGCACTACGAATTGGTGGCCCTGACACCCCCTCCTGGCTCAGCAGGGAACCCCTTAGAAAGCGGCAAGTATTTTCAGTCTTACGGTGAGCAGGTCACACAGCATGCACTGCTTTGTGCAAAGAGAGAGACAGTTGAGGGTGTGCACTAGCAGGTGTGTGCATGCACCCATGCAGGGGGGCTGGGGGGGGCTGGGGAGTGAGGGGCCCAGCTAGGAGTGACATGGCTCCCAAGAGAGAGCCTGGCTGCTCTGGTGACCCCCAGCCCTATCTTTTCTTTCTTAATGCAGAGAAGGGGGATGGTCTCTGCCAGAGGCTGACCCTGCCCTGTGTGGGCCTGGCCCCACAAAACCCCTGGGCCCAGGATGAATGGGAAATCCCCCGGCAGTCTCTCAAGCTGGTCAGGAAACTCGGGTCTGGACAATTTGGCGACGTCTGGATGGGTAAGTGTGTGTACACGCGGGAGTCTTTCTCCCCCACATTCCACCCACGCTTCATCCTGAGTCCAGAAGTGGCTGAGGAAGGCTGAAGGTTCAGTATTTTTATAGTGTGTCATCCCTCCCCTGGAAGACTTGGGAGGGACTGAGGATAGAGGCAAGTACATCCATTTTACACAGGAGCCGGCGGAGGTACAGAGCTGTGTGATGACAGCCGGGCCACTTACTGTGGTGGCAGAGCAGGAAGAGTTCAGCTCTCCCAGCCCCCAGGTCGCTCCCTCCCTTGTCCTCTGCCTGCGACTGGCTTTTTCATTGAGCTGCAATGGCGCTAACTCCCCTTAGCTTTCCATCACCCAGAAGGAAACAGGAGGTTCAAGGTGCTGAGCCATGAGGTTCCAGGGTCTGAGTGCACGCTGGGGCAGCTGTGGGATGTCGGCCAGGTCATGGAACCTCCAGGCCCAGCGTCCTCACGTTTCCATTGCTGCTGACACCTGCCCCATCCCCTGCCTACCAGGATAGAAAACTCATGTTCCGTTTTATCCCTGGACTGGTCCACGAGTCCTCCGTTGCCTGGGGCTGTTACACAAGGTGCCTTTGGCAGGAGCTGCACCCAGGTCCCTGGCAAGTCCCAGATCCTCTAGAAAGGCGAGTAGAGTTGTCTTCGGCCCTTCAGGGCGCACAGGGACTTCCTGGAGTGCAGGGAGAGTGTGGAGACACAGGCAGTTTAAGGACGGGGACAGGTCTGCCACGGGGCTTCAGAAGGAAGGAGACCCTCACTCCCCTTCCTCGTGCCCAGGTTTGCCCCACTGTGTGCTTATTTTCATCAAGGAGCCACCGTGTGATAGAAGAGACTCATCACATAGAGAAGGGGTAGGAAGGGGGCAGGTTACATGCAGGACAGAAGAACGCAGACCTTGGGTGTGGGGCAGAGAGGCAAAACAGACCCCAGGCAGGGAGTCCTCCATTGCCTGAGGCCCCATACAGAAGGGGCCTGGGACACAAGGTAGGCCCCATGCAACCACGGCCTCCGGAGCTGCGCGTTCCAGCTCTGGCACCTGGAATGGGATGGCTCCTGGGCACTTACCCTGATTTTGGTTAAGCGATCGCCTCCAAGCAAGGTCTCTGTCTTCTGAGCGGTTTCTTCTCTCCCCCGGGCTCAGGTTACTACAAAAAGAACATAAAGGTGGCCATCAAGACGCTGAAGGAGGGAGCCATGAGTCCGGAAGCCTTCCTGGGCGAGGCCAACGTGATGAAGACCCTGCAGCACAAGCGGCTGGTCCGGCTCTATGCCGTGGTCACCAAGGAGCCCATCTACATTGTCACCGAGTACATGGCCAGAGGTGGGGCCTGAAGAGCTGCATCCTCAGAGTGAGGAAGCAGGGTGGTCTTTGCAGGAGGAGGGGGATTGTGGCAGTGGGTTCCCCAGGCCAGGGGGCTCCACAGGGAGCCGTTAGCCAGCATCCTGCAGACCTAGGGCACGGCATGGCATGGGGGCCCAGAGGGATAGGGGGAGGGTGAGAAACGGGAGGGCGAAGTGGTTCTGACAGGGCTACATTCTCTGCTCGGGAGCAGTTCAGCCAGCATCTCTGGAGTGTGTCCTCTGTGCCCAGCACTCTTGGGTGCCTGCTGGGAGGGACAGAGCATTGCAAAGTCAAAGGAGCCCCAGGCCAGCCATGCAGGGACCGTGCTACATCCAGGTCTACTGCTTCCTGGTCCGGGAAGCTTTTACAACTGTGTGAATATTTTACAAGGTTGGCCAGAGAGGTTGGGCTCGATGGCCTCTGAGGTCCCCAGCGTGGCCAGATTCTCATGGGGCAGGAGGCCAGGGATTGGGCTGAGCCTTTGACCTTCTCACTCCTCCTGTGATCCTGACCGCACACTGCTCCTCTGCGATCCTAACATGCCCATCTAATACAGCTCCCTAACAACTGTCCCCAAGGGGGCCCCAGTCTGAGACTGTGCTGGGGGCACCTCCAGCCTGCTGCTAGGGCAAGCACTCATCCCTCCCAGCACTCCGATTCCAGGGGAGCTGCATTTGTCCCCTGCGGCCAAAGCCGGGGGGGCAGTTCTCTCCTCTGGTGCTTTCTTCCTGATGCCTGGTCCTTAGAGGCAGAGCGTGTCTGCCAGCAGGGATCAAAGGAGCGAGGCTGACATGGGGGAAAAGACAAGAAGGGTCATCAACTGTAGAGTCAGCACTGGGGCTTTCCTCCCAGCTCCCAGCCAGGTGACCTCAGACAGGTCCCTGCACCTGGCTGAAACCTAACTGCTGGGCAACTGCTGGTATATGCGCTGCCTCCTGGGGTGCTGAGCCTGGCATTTTGTGAAGGGGAAGGCACTTGACAGCAGCAGGTAGGTCCTTCCTGATGCACGGAGAGATCTGAGGGTGCAAACTCCCACTTCCCACCCCCGTGGGAAAGCGCTCATGCCGGGAGAGGCTGGCACCGCCAGGGATGGTCACTTTGCAGAAGGCCACCTGCAGCTTCTCTTTTCGTAGGGTGCCTGCTGGATTTCTTGAAGACGGATGAAGGGAGCAGATTGTCACTCCCAAGGCTGATCGACATGTCGGCCCAGGTTGGTGAAGGACCAAGTGCAGAGGAGGGGCGGCGTGGTGCCCTCTGACTTCCCGAGTCCCTCTCCTCCTCCAGGCCCTGTGGCTTAACAACGTCAGTGATTCAGAGGTCATAGTAGTTAGAGTTAGGCTGGACTTCGAGGAAGAGAAAGGCTGAAGTCATAAGAGCTTAGATGTGTAAACGTCAGGAGGTGGGCAGTCCGGGCAGGTGGCAATTTCGCCCCTCCATGTTCTCCCACCTGCTGGGATCTCAGGGTGCCACCTTCTGCTGACAATAGCTGCTTATGTCTTACCACCCCATCCTCTCCTCAGCCAGCAGAGGTCAAGCCACCTTCCTCTAAGCACACGTCCCCAAGGTCACCCACTGCACTTGCACCTGCATGCCCAGGCCACTGTGCCTCCTGCCCCACGCAGCAGCGAGGGAGCCTGGGCCATGGAGCCTTCGTCCTGGGCAGCTGTGATGGAATGAGGCTGTTCTGTTCTGAGGGAAGCAAGGGTGAATGGGCGTCATGGGAACACACAGGGTCAGCAAGAGTTCCACTGCAGCCAGGGTGTTCTGTGGTGACCTCACCCCTTCCTTAGATGGTACCCACAGATATCTTTGGTAGGAGGTCACTGAAAACATGCCCCCACCCCAGGGGCCCCCAGCCCTTGCCCAGCCCTGGCATCTACCCCAGGCTGATGGGCAGGCCTGGGTCACACACAAGTGCCAGGGACGTCTCTGAGCCCTGGAGGACCACACCCCCCTTCTGCCATCAGGGAGTTACGAGTGCTGGGCCTCCTTGGCTACCCTGGACTGACCCTCACGTTCACATGCAGAACCTTCCAGACTCCATGAGATGAAGAGCTGAGTCGAGGGGAGGGTGTGTAGGGGAGAGCTCTAGCTGGCAGGAAGCACATCTGGTGGCCCTGTTAAAACTGGAATTCTCAGCAGAAACGTTTCTGTCTGTGGTCAGCCTGTGAGGCACACACATGGGTACACACACACCCACCTGCCACCGAGAGGAAGCCCTCCCACCTTCCGCCCACATCAGCCCTCCCCCCTCGCCCAGACTCACCCAGGAGCCCCGCTGCAGGAACTGATGCCACAACGCCTTTTTCCACTGAGGTGGGCAGAGAGCCGTCTGGGCAGGCTGGTGAGATGGTTTTGGAAAATGAGTGCTGGTGATGGGCTTCAAACCCCAGGCCAGCGAAAGCCTGCCCGCGGATTCTGTTTCCTTTCCCCTTCCTTCCCTCACCCTCCACTGTCTCTTACTCAGTCCCCACTACACCCCCTTGGGAAATCCTGGGTGAACCAGAGGCAAAGGGTGTGAAAAGCCCGTCTGAGTTTAGTTCCCAGATGTGGTCACAGCCCGTGGTGAGGAGTCAGAAAATCAGGACCTCCCAGATAGGAAGCCTCTAACCACATGCTGACCATGCCAGCGGCTCTCCAGGTGCGGGCGCGCATACACACACACGCATGCACACACACGCACACAGGCGCGCACACACGCTCACACAAGCACACGCACACAAGCACACACACGCACGCACACACAGGTTCGCATACACACACAGGCTCGCATACACACACACACGCACACAGGCGCGCACACACGTGCACACAACCACACGCACACAAGCACACACAGGCGTGCACACACTCACACAAGCACACGCACACAAGCACACACAGGCTCGCATACACACATGCACACTGGCGCACACATGCACGCACACACATGCACACAGGCTCGCACACACAGGTGCACACATGCACACACGTACATACGCACACACATGCACACAGGCTCACACACACGCACACTGGCACACACACGCACGCACACATGCACATGCACATACATGCACACAGTCTCGCACACATGCACACACAGGCACACACATGTACGTGCACACACAGGCTCACACATACATGCACACGCATGTACACGCACACACATGCACACAGGCTCACACGCACACACACAGGCTCACACACACGCACACACACACAGGCTCACACACACATACACATGCACACAAGCTCACACACGCACACAGCCTCACACACCCCGACTCCCACACAGACTCACACACACACATTAACACACACACACACAAACTCAAACACAAACATGCAAACTCACACACACACACGAGCAGACACACGGCCTGCCCTTCTGGGCTCTTTTCTTCCTCCATAGCACGAAATGCAAAGTCCCAAGGCCCGATCTGGCCAACCCAAGAACCCTGCAACCACAGTCCCACAGGCCCCACTTTGCAGCCAGATGGCCCTGGTCCCTGTGCCCCATGCCTAGCCACCCCTCTGTCTCCTTTGCCCAGGAAGCTTTGAACTCTTCCCACTCGGCAGAGTCCTTATCATCATGCATAGCCCAAGTGAAATGTCATTTCTATGAAGGTTTTCCTGGACAGGAAACTGCTAGAGAGCCTTTGGCTCAGATGTTCCCAGAAGCATTGTTCTTGCTAAGCAGCTCTGGGCAGCTTCTTCGTGAAAGCTGATCTGAGCCATACTCAACATTTTAAAAATACATATTTCTGGTACTGCTCAATAAATATTAGTTATCAGAATGAGTGTTAGATGCTGCCCTGATATATTTAGTACTCAGTTTATATTCCCCACAGTCCCATACCAGTAAATGTGCATTGATTGAATGGTGCAGCAAGGGGATGGATGCATGGATGGATGGATGAATGGATAGATGGACGGTGGGTGGATGAATGGATGCATGGATGAATGGATTAATGAATCAATGGATGAGATGGATGCATGGATGGATGGAGGGATGGATGGATGGATGAATGGATGGATGGTTGGATAAATGGACGGATGGATGGATGAATGGATGAATGGATGGATGGAGGGATACATGGATGGATGGATGGATGGATGGATGGATGGATGGATGGATGAATGCATGGATGAATGAATGGATGGATGTGTGGATGGATGGATGGATGTGTGGATGGATGGATGGATGGATGGATGTGTGGATGAATGGATGGATGGATGATATGTGGATGGATGGATGGATAGATGAATGGATGGATGTGTGGATGGATGGATGGATGGATGGATGGATAGATGAATGGATGGATGGATGGATGTGTGGATGGATGGATGGATAGATGAATGGTTGGATGGATGGATGTGTGGATGGATGGATGGATGGATGTGTGGATGGATGGATGGATAGATGAATGGATGGATGGATGGATGGATGAATAGATGGATGGATGGATGTGTGGATGGATGGATAGATGGATGGATGGTTGGATGGATGTGTGGATGGATGGATGGATGGATGTGTGGATGGATGGATGGATGGATGGATGTGTGGATGGATGGATGGATAGATGAATGGATGGATGGATGGATGGATGAATAGATGGATGGATGGATGTGTGGATGGATGGATAGATGGATGGATGGTTGGATGGATGTGTGGATGGATGGATGGATGGATGTGTGGATGGATGGATGGAAGGATGGATGGATGAATAGATGGATGGATGGATGTGTGGATGGATGGATAGATGGATGGTTGGATGGATGTGTGGATGGATGGATGGATGGATGTGTGGATGGATGGATGGAAGGATGGATGGATGGATGAGTTGGATGCATGGATAGATGGATGGATTCATGGATAAACCAATGAAATGCAAGCATCAGGTGAAGTGGGATCAATTCTAGTGCTGGCTTCTTGTAGTCGCAAGTCTGATGAGGTGAATGTGCTCTCTGTTTTCTGTCTGCCTTAGTTTCTCCATCCACTGATTGAATAAAGCCTTAGTTTCCTCAGCTACAAGGCACCAAGCAGCACAAGCTGCTATCCCTGGCCCAGCTGGTGAGCTGGGGAGCAGAGACCAGGCTTGTCTTCCTCACGGTCTCTGTCCACTCGGATCTGCCAGTGCTCCCTGGGTGCCCCCATGAGGCAGGTGTTGGGCAAGGTCCTCGGCCACAAGTCACCTCATCTAATGCTTGCCTCAACCCCGCGCCCTGAAAACCATATCCCTCACGTTCCAGGTCAGGACTGTGGCCCCTCGGGGAGGTTAAGCACTTCCTGGAGGTCAGTGACTCCAGCCGAGGGCTCCCAGCTCCAGGAGCTGTGCTCCCAGCCAGCCGGGGAGAGTCGCCTCTCCCTGTCTCCTGCTCCCCGTCTCCTTCCTTCCCTTTCTTCTTTTCTCCCTCACTCTCCTTTTCTCCTGTCTGTGTTCTTCTACCTTCCATCTCTGCAGACCTTGGACACAGCTGTGTCGAGGGAAAATGAGGAGGGGGAGGGGCACAGGTAGCCCGGTGTCTCTGATGCCCACGTTGCTGCCGTCCTGGGCTTCTAGGACAGGGGTTTATTCAGCTGAGGAGCAGCACAGCCAACTTTCTACTCCACCCAAGAAGCAGCTCCTTCCCCAGCAGCCCACAGGGGCTGTGCAGGGGCCACAGGGTGGGCTCGGTCCTGGTGTGGAGGCCCCCATGATGTACTTCACCGTGTACCTGTTCCCTCAGATTGCTGAAGGGATGGCGTACATCGAGCGCATGAATTCCATCCACCGCGACCTGCGGGCGGCTAACATCCTGGTGTCTGAGACCTTGTGCTGCAAGATTGCTGATTTTGGCTTGGCTCGGATCATCGACAGTGAATACATGGCCCAGGAGGGTGAGTACAGCCCCCAACCACGAGAGAAACCTGAGCCCTTACCTTCCCCAGCCCCTCAAAGCCCCCTTAATTCCTCCCAGCACAGCCCTGAGGGAAGACACCCGAGGGCTAGACTGTTTCCAAACTCTACATCAGCATTTCTTTCACTTCCCCGATGTGTTCAGCAGCACAGTAGTGCCCCAAGACCTCCCACGGAGGAACAGCTTTAGGATAAGGTTGGTTTGGAGAAACAGTAGTCCACCCCCTCCCTGCCTTGGAGATTCCCAGTGTATATCAACATATTAAAGGCACTGAGAAGTCCTGCAGCAAAGGAACCGTTTACATTCGCCTCACCTAGTGCCTCCCAAACTAATTTGAGCTCCAAATACTTTTTTTTTTTTTTTTTTTTGAGATGGAGTCTCTGTCACTCAGGCTGGAGTGCAGTGGCACAATCTTGGCTCACTACAGCCTCTGCCTCCTGGGTTCAAGCAATTCTCCTGCCTCAGCCTCCCAAGTAGACGGGATTACAGGCAAATACCACTACACCTGGCTAATTTTTGTATTTTTAGTACAGACGGGGTTTCACCATGTTGGCCAGGCTGGTCTTGAACCCTTGACCTCAGGTGATCCACCTGCCTCGGCCTCCCAAAGTGCTGAGATTACAGGCATGAGCCACCGTACCCAGCCCCAGATACTATTTTTATGTAGCGCCTATTAACCTTCCACAGAAGTAGGCTTTCCCAGAGCACACTGTGGGAAACACAGCTTTCATGCGTGAGCAGCAAATTTTCTGAATTACGGGGTCCACGGAGCATTCTGTCTGATTCTGTGAATTAGAATCTCCACAGAGCCCTCTGTCTTACTCTGTGAATATAATTGAGGTGGAAATCTCCTTCACAAGAGAAACTGAAGTGATCACACACATTTATCAAGCAAGCAAGCTGTATTCGCTTAGCGTACGAGTGACAGCCAGACGGGATATGGTTTGCTCTCTCGGGAACTCAGGCTGGCTGGGGAGACCGAGAAATGTAGGCCAGGGGAGGCCATGATGTGCCAGACTCTGAGGCCTGCTCCAAATGCTGGCCAGGCCCAGCCACCTCGGGCTTCACAGGGTGGCCGGATGTGAGTCCTTCCTCGGAGCGGCCTCCCAGGTGCCAGTGTCACCGTTTCCATTTGGCAGGAAGGGACTCACAGAGGCTCCACCAGCTTTGAATGGCTCACCCAGGCTGTGTTTTCTTTATTAAACAAGGCCCCTGTGAGGCGGAACACGCCCCTTCCATCCCAGGTGGAAATGTGGTGGCTGCCCATTGACGCCACTCACTCTATTTTTAAAGAACCAAAGTGGGACTGCATGGTACCAGTGTCCATATTGTCCTTCTGTGCTGCAGATGCCTCTGCACTCACCTGGCATGCATCCTGGTGTGTGGCAGTGGCTCCCCCACCGTGTCTGGCTGCCCTGTCCTGCAAGGCCCCACAGTGGGGGACTAAGGGAAGGACAGCAGGAGCAGGGGTAGGGTGAGGGTAGGGTGGAGAGTAGAGGCCACCCACCATGGCCTCCCAAAGCTGTGCATGGCTTTTCCTGCAGGGGCCAAGTTCCCCATCAAGTGGACTGCCCCAGAAGCCATCCACTTCGGGGTCTTCACCATCAAAGCTGATGTGTGGTCATTTGGAGTCCTCCTGATGGAAGTCGTCACTTACGGGCGGGTGCCATACCCAGGTAGGCGGCTCGCTCCGCAGCTCTCACGGGCTTCCTGCTTTCCCTGCTGGCTCTGACGGCAGGTCCTGTCCCTGTGCCTGTGGCTGCCCCCTTCTTTTCAGAGTAAGTCCCAGGGTGGGGACGGAGACCCAGGTGTGGCATCTGGGGTGGAGCTCTGGCCCCTGCATCACTATGACTCCAGGCCACAGGGCTGCCTCCTTCCTCCAGCAAAGGTCACAAGCCTCACAGACTGGAATCAAGACAAAGGCACACCCGAATTCAAAGTTATTCCCAGTGGTCTGTTCTCAGTTGAGGACGGGTTGTGCCTACCTTGGCATCACACCCATAGTGGATTCCAAAAGCCCCATCCTGAATGGGCAGAATCGTGGACGCCAGCCCCCAGCCCCCAGCCCCTGTCAGAAGGGCTTGGATGGCTTGGGCCGGGCAGCTGGGCAGGCTCTGGGTCACCTGCTGCTGTGTGCACCTGCCAGCTGCCCGTGAGTGATGGGCTTAGCTGTGCCCCTGGCAGTCACAGTAATCAAGACATGGAGGGTGCCATCCACAGAGGACCTGCCCAACACGCAGGAGAAAATCTTTCTTTCCTAGGCGTTCCTAAGCAATAAAAAGGACTGTTTAGAGGCTGGGCCTGTGGGCACTTGCTGTCCCCCATCTGGGCCCATTGTGCCCCACGGGCCGCTCAGGGCCCCCCACCAACCGAGGACCCCTGCCCCTCATCCCCGCTCACGGTCCCCTCTGCCTCTGCCGCAGGGATGAGCAACCCCGAGGTCATCCGCAACCTGGAGCGCGGTTACCGCATGCCGCGTCCCGACACCTGCCCGCCCGAGCTGTACCGCGGCGTCATCGCCCAGTGCTGGCGCAGCCGGCCGGAGGAGCGGCCCACCTTCGAGTTCCTGCATTCAATGCTGGAGGACTTCTACACGGCCACCGAGCGGCAGTACGAACTTCAGCCCTAGGCAGCCCGCGCCTGCCGGCGCCCCCGTGCCCACCGCTGCGCGGACGACCTCCCAGCTCCCGTGCCAGCACCGACGGGCCGCGAAGGCACTGGGAAACCAGAGGGCAGAGGCAGCTTCTCGGGGGGTGCCCGGACGGACTCCTTCCCCAGCTGTGCGCCCTCAGGCGAGTTACGCGGCCTCTCTGTGCTGCCCCATTTGTAAAGAGGGCCACATCCGTGACCTGGCATGGGCATCCGGAGTACTAAGTTAGCCTCCTAAGGTGTTCGGGACTAGTAAGCGACTGGTAAGGCTCCAGTGTTGGGCCTTGACCGAGGAGTCGCCGCCGGTGGCCACGTCCAGGCCGCTGCGCCCTGGGGGGACCTCAGCCCTGCGCCGCTGCAGAAGCTGGAGTGGGTCCCCACCCTGCCACCCGACGCCATCAGGGGTAGCCCCAGCCTAGGCTGCGCTCTGGCACTGCGGAGCTTTTCCATAATAAAGTCACGAGCGTTCGAGATTTCCGCGTCGTTACCGTGACAAGTTGGACATCGTGTGCAGGACGAGCACGGGGTGGGGGGGCGCACGCGTGGCGCAGCCGGGGGTCCAACGTGGTCTAGGCTCCGGGAGCTCGAGCGGGGCCAGCAGAGGGCGCTGTGGCCTCATAAATCCGTGGCCCGGGCCCGCGCCGGGAGCGCTGTGCGGGGCAAAGCCTGGAGCTGACGCTGGGAGCCGGCGCTTTGGGGGCGGCCAGGATGAGAGCCCAGCCCCCAAAGCCAGGTGCCTGAACGAGGATCGGGTGACGATGGGGCGTCGAAGCGCCGCTCCCACTGCATTGAGCCTCTTCACTTTGCATGTTTTCGTTTTGATTTTAATGGATCCAGTTTTTATTTGAGCAGTTTAGGTTTACAGTTTAGGGAAAAAAAGGTGGGAAGTAAGCAGGCAGTCTCCATATCCCGCCCATTTCCCGTGCTACTAACACCTGGCAGCGGTGGTGCGTTTGTTACCACCGATGAGCCAATACTGACACAATGTCATTAACTGAAGCCCACCTCTTCATCCAGGTTCTCGCCGCAGTGTTGTACATGCCATGGGTGTAGACGAAAGCAGAGACTGTACCCCCCCTGGCCCGACCTGTACACCCGCTTCCTTCCCCTTGGACCCTTGGCAAACGACTTGTCAGTGTTGACTCCTCTGACTGTGAGAACGCCCCGAGGCAGGACTCTTGCCACCCCGAGAACCAAGGTGGAAACCGAGGCACAAAGCGCTCACACACAGCTCACATGCAGCAGGAAGGGGGTGGAGGTGGGGGCAAGCTGCAGGCTCAGGCAGCACAGGATGAGAGTGGGGCCTTGGTGGGAGAACCCCGGAGAGGGGCAGTCCCTGCAGGGGTGCTGGGGACAGCCATCAGCCAGGAAGGATGCAGTCCACATAGCTGTTCATCTACAGTCTCTGGATTCTCCAGCAGCCCGAGGTGGGAGCGTCACCATGGTTACCATGAAGTTGTTTCTGCAGATGAGGAAACCCACGGACTCCATGCCACCAGGCTTCTCTCAGTCCTTGGCCCTCACAGCCCCCAATGGCCGTGGGCAAGCGCTGGGCAGGAGAACACAGCACTTTAGGAAGGGAGTCTGCAAGGGCAGGCAGGGGCAGGCCTGGAGCCTTGCTGAGGAACCCAGGGGGACAGGTGTTCCCCAGCTGTGTCAGAATGCTGGAGGTGGAGGAACCTAGAGGGGGAACTCTGTTGTCCCAGACAGTGGAGGCTCCAGAAATTGTGGGGCCTCTGACCTCCCCCAGGACCTGGTCACACTAGGTTGCTGGAAGGAGGAAACTGCCTGGCCAAGAACCTGTCCCAGAGGATGTGACTGGTGGGGTGTAAACAGGGTCGTGGGACAGCAGGGTTACTGCTCCTGCCAGTGGGGGCTGCTGGGGTTTGTGAATGGGAGGGCCAAGCTCACATGCTGGGGCTCCTGTGGAGTGGGGCTGAGGAGGGAGCTAAGATCACAGGATGAGGAATGAGCCCTTCCTTCCTCTCGTGAGCAGGGACTGTAGGCCAGAGCACCACCTCTCAGCACCCCCCACAGCCCCTGTGAAGTGGCTCCCATGACTCGGAAGCTGTCCTCAACCTGCAGGGCTTGGGACTGTCTCCTCACCTCCCTGGACCCCACTGTCATCCCCTAAAGATGAAAGAGTCACCCAGTGCTTCGCCAACCTCACCTCAGGTTTTTGTTTTAAAATGCAGGCTGGGCATGGTGGCTTGTGCCTGTAATCCCAGCACTTTGGGAGGCAGAGGCAGGTGGAACACCTGAGGTCAGAAGTTTGAGACCAGGCTGGCCAGCATGGTGAAACCCTGTCTCTACTAAAAATACAATAATTAGCTGGGTGTGGTGGCAGGTGCCTGTAATCCCAGCTACTTGGGAGGGTGAGGCACGAGAATCACTTGAACCCAGGAGGTGGAGGTTGCAGTGAGCCAAGATCACGCCGCTGCACTCCAGCCTGGGCAACAAGAGCGAAACTCAGTCTCAAAAAATAAAAATAAATAATAAAATAAATAAAATTCAGGTCTTTCAACCTCTCCCCTCCCACAGAGATTCTGATTCAGTGGGATGAAGTCTGGACCTGGAAACATCCTCTTTTATAAGCGCCCTAAGTGACTCCATTGCAGGCATTTGCAGCTCTCAGCCCTGGCTCCTCACTAGAATCACCTTGTGTGGAATGGGGTCGGGGAGGCATAGTAAGAGTGCCCGTGCAGGGTTCCAGGTAAGCATGCTTTATCCAGAGCCTCGGCAGTCTTTAATCGGCCCCAGCTGGTGCTAATCTCCACCGGGGATTGAGAACCACCAGGCAGGGCTGTGTGAGGCTGAAAGCGCTCCATCCCAGCAGGGCCAGCTCCAAGCACTGGGGGCCACGTTCATGTCCTGAAACTGCGGGACCAGCAGATGCCTATGGAGTTTTCCATCTCTGTCATGCAAGTGACAACCTGCAGAAATCAGACAAGAAACCCACAAGACCAGCACATTCTCAGAGGTACGTTCTCAGGCAAGGCGAACACCTGGCTCTCCTCCAGCTTGGTATTCCTGGGAGAGGAGAGGCTGGAGAGGGTCTTGAAGGGCAAGGGAGCGTTTCTCCACTAGGGGGCGCACTTGCCCGAGTAGTGACGCGAGCGGAACCCGTGTCCTAGTATGTTCTTGTTCCCGGGTACATATGTCTATACAGGATGAGGAGCCCAGCCAGAAAGTGAAATGTGAGAGTGTGCGGGGGAAGAGAGATGGAGAGAGGAGGCAGAGAGCGCACGTATGCACTAAAGCAGCATTTCCTGCTCTGGGACTTTGCCTTCCTGGTGGGAGGGAGGGTATTTCATGGCGTGGAGTCCGCCTTCTCCCAACCATATGTCTGCACACATGGGGACACTGCTGGGGGACCGTGCCTGAGCCGTGGGGACATACGTCCCGACACCCAGAGCTCTGATGAGAGGGCCAGCCCAGGTCTTGGCACCCCAGACCTCTCCTTGCCTGTGAAGAAGCTGGTGTCTTTCCCTCTGTCCATTCCAGAGCCAGCACACACCATGGCGCTGCTGCGAAGTGAGCAACAGCAGGGTCTCTGAGTCGGACCTTTCAACATCAGGCACTTGCTCTCCTGGGATGTTTGGTCTTGGAGACTCTGCTTTACTTCTCTGAGCCTCAGTTTCCTCATCTGTGCAATGGGTACAATGATGCCACCTGCATTGCAGGCTTGCTGCAAGGTTGAGAGAAAGCAGCACACAGGAGGCGTTTACCAACATGCCTGTCTTATGCCAAGTGCTCAGAAATGTTAGCTTTACATTAGCACTATCATAACCCCAGAGAAGGGCCCTCAGAGACCCTGATCCCAGCCCGGCCCCCTAGCCGGGCTTCCCTGGCCTCGGCCATACCTCCCTGCCTCAGGCCTCCAGCTCTGCCGCTCAGAGCTTTGTTCTTTTGCTGCTGCGATCTGTTTTGTCTACAGCAGTGGTCCCTTATCTAAGGTTTCAGTTACCAGCGGTCAACTGCAGTACCAAAATGCTACATGCAATAAGATATTTTGAGAAAGAGGGAGAGAGGGAGGCCACATTCACAGAAATATTATAGAGTATATGTTATACTATTGTATTATTTATTAGTGTTAATTTCTTACTGTGTCTAATTCGTAAGTTAAACCGTATCATAGATACGTACATATAGGAACAAACACGGTGCATATGGGGTCCGGCGCCATCTGCAGTTTGGAGCGTCTAGTAGTTTGGGGGTGCTGGAATGTATTCCCTGTGGTTAAGGGGGAGCTCCTGCACTTTCACACTCTTCCCACCCTCAGGGCAGAGCTTCCAAAAGAGCACACAGGGTCAGAAGCCAAGGACCTCGGCAAGCTGTGTGACTTTGAGTGAGTGACTCCATCCTTCTGAACCCTGGTTTCCTTGTCAAAAACGGGATGGTGAGGCCTGTGTCGTTCTCAGAGGCACGCTCTCAGGCAAGGCGGACACCCGGCCTTCCTCCGGCTTGGCTTTCCCGGGCAAGGTGAGGCTGGAGGGTTGCTTTCAGGACTTAAGGATATTTTGGAAATGGAAGAGTGTGTTCCTTTGCTAAGGCTGCTGGAACAAATACCACAGGCGAGGGGGCGTCAATTACGCAGCAGAAGTGGATCGCTCAGTTCTGGGGGCTGAAGTCTGAGATCGAAGGGCCTGCAGGGGTGGCTTCTCCTGAGGACTCTCTCCTGGGCGCCCTGTGTCCTCACGTGGTCGTCCCTCTGTGTCTGTGTCCTCATCGCCTCTTCTGATAAGAACACTAGTTCTATGGGACCAGGGCCCACCCATATGGCCTCATTTTACTATCAATTTTTAAAGGCCCTGTCTCCAAATACTGCCACATTCTGAGGCCGTGGGGTTAGGAATTCAACATGGGAATGTGGGGGACAGGAGGCACAGTGCAGCTCTTGAACCGTCGTGACACACAAGCGTACGGGTTCTTTCTGCTTTTGTATCTTTCATTCTACCTGCCTGTGGTGGGTATCAGTGTATTCTTGTGACTCATGGATTCGTTTGAAAATCAAGAATATGTGGTGTGAATAAATGTCCCATCTACAAATAAGGAAGACCCAAAGCTAAGCTGGAACACCAATGGACCAGCCTTAAGCAAATTCGCATATGAAAATCCAGAGTTCCTCCAAAGAGAGAACTGCCTTTAATGAGATATTTTATGAAAGTTTCCACCACATATTCCATTAGAGACTAAAACGTAGGACTCGAGCTTCCCCAGGCCTCATGATGTTGTTTTTTATTTATTTATTTTTTGACATAGATTCTTGCTTTGTCGCCCAGGCTGGGGTGCAAGGGCACAATCTCCGCTCACCGCAACCTCCACCTCCCAGGTTCCAGCGATTCTCCTGCCTCAGCCTCCCAAGTAGCTGGGATTACAGGCGCCCAACACCACGCCCGGCAAATTTTTGTATTTTTTAGTAGAGATGGGGTTTTGCCATGTTGGTGAGGCTGGATCTGAACTCCTGACCT